CACTGGAAAAGGCCCATGGAGGGCTTGGGCCCCAGGCAGGACGTGGGCAGTCTCCAGCTCCAGGCTCTGTCCCCAGGGTGTGTTGTCGACCATGTTCAGGGCTGGAGGCAGTGCAGCCCCTGTCGCCTCAGTCTCACTCCCTGCCCGAGGCCCACCAGCCACCTGCTGTTCACCAAAGGGAAAGGAAGACGGTCGATTTGGCATGTCCAGGTTAACACAGCTGTTTCATGGCAAAGCCAGGCCAGCACCTGGTCTCCCATTGGCCTGCCTGAGTTCCTCCCAGTGCCCTCCATCCCCTCTCCTTGCAGCTGAGGTCTGCACTGAATCATCCTTTGCAGAACCTAATAGTGGTCTTCAAAGTCACATTAAACCTATGGCCAGGTAACTCAGCAAAGGGACTGTGTGGCACCTCTCCCTCTTGCCAACCTAGATACCCCTGGCAGGACACCCTCCAGCTCTGCTTCCTGACCCCACTCACCCCTCTGCTCATTTGCAAAATGGGGCTGCTAATACCAACTCTCTCCATCTTCCAGGTCAGGTGGAAGCAAGAGGATAGGTGTGAAGTCCAGCTCTAACACATCACAGCTTGGTTAAGGGAAGGTTTTAGAATTAATGTAAAAAGTAATGAGTGGATCACTTTGTCTTTGATCAGGAATCCAAGTGACTGAAGGAAGCACTGGGACAGTGAGTCTCCGGACTGAGGACTCCAGTGTCATGGCACACCAGGCTGTTCCCCTGAAGAGCTAAGTCCTTGTCACTCCCCGGCTAGCAAGCATATAAGAAATGGAAGCAGGAAATTCACAGAAGAAAAACTACACATGGCTAAGGAATATGTCAGTATAATTTTTTAAATCACACAGAAAATATAGGCATAACTAGTTGTGCATGAGTTGCCTTCTCTAGCTTTTTGTAGTCATTGATTAATTCTTCCTTTCAGATTTCACAAATCTCAACCTACTTTATTTTTATAGAACAAGATCACTTCTTGATAGAGGCTTTTGCAATCTGGTCATAACCTACAGTAATGAATGCATTCTATCTCATGACCCAGCACACATACACATATACATAATTGAAAGGTTCAGAAAGCAATATTTTCATCATCAGGTGCAATGTCTCCTGTTTCCTATTTCATTCTGTTCTCTTGTGTTTTTTTTAAAGGCTGGTTATGATACCTGCAAAACTGATTCCATGACCCCACCAATAGTCTTGAGGCCAGTGATTTGAGACCTTTGAGAGAACAAAGTTGTAAGACTGACACTGCCTAATTTAAAGACTTTCTACAGCTGGGTGGGAGTCGCATGCCTGTAATCCCAGCACTTTAGGAGGCTGAGGCGGGTGGATCTCCTGAGGTCAGGAGTTCAAGACCAGCCTGTCCAACATGGTGAAACCCCGTCTCTACTAAAAGTACAAAAATTAGGCAGGTGTGGTGGTGCATGACTGTAATCTCCGCCACTCGGGAGGCTGAGCCAGGAGAATTGTTTGAACCAGGGAGATGGAGGTGGCAGTGAGCTGAGATAGCACCACTGTATTCCAGCCTGGGCAACAGAGCGAGATTCTGTCTCAAATAAATAAGTAAGTAAATAAATAAAACATTACAAAGTTACACTAGTTAAGACAGTGCTGTTGGCAAAAGAACAGACAAATAGATAAATGGAACAGAATAGAGAGCCCAGAAATAGACCCACACAAATAGAGTGAAGTGGTCTTTGACAAAAAAAGTGAAGGCAATACAATGAAGAAAGGATAGGATCTTCAAAAAGCGGTTGTGGAATAAATGGACATCCACATCCAAAAAAAAAAAAAATCTAGATCTAGACCTTTACTCAAAATGGATCTTAGACTAAAAGGTAACATGCAAAACTATAAAACTACAGGATGACACAAGAGAAAATCCAGGTGACCTCTGGCTTGATGATAAACTTTTAGATGAAACACCAGCTTCCTCCATTAGATATGATCCGTGGAGGAAAATGACTGATAAACTGGACTTCATTAAAATAAAGAACTTCTCTGGAAAAAAAAGAAAACAGAATTGAGATTCTTACCAGCTCCTAAATGCATCAGCTTTTCCAGGAAAACTCAATTCCCCTGACACTCCTGTGTGTGGGCTCGGCCAGAGTGTGGGCATCACAGTGGGGCTCCTCTCTCTTCACCTGTGGACTCAGCAGAGACCCCGGGGCCCACCTTGTTCTGGCACTCAGTCATCTCAGCAGAAAACCCCATCTGTTCCGCTCCCAGGAGCCACACTCGGGTGCTCTGCGAATCTCTTGCACAGTTACGTCTGCACCTGCAGTCTTCCTCCTGCAACAGGCACACTGCTGCGACTGACTGCAGGCCACTGCAGTCCATCATGAGAGATGGCTACTGCTGCTCCTGTGGACGAGCGGAGTTGCCTTCTTCCAGGAACAGCCTCAGCTGTAACTCATGCTGTCTTCCCCTGCCCTGAGGCATTACAAAGTCACACGAGATCAGCCATTCTCAACTGGGGCAATTTTGCCTCCAGGAAACGTGCAATGCCTGGCTACATTCTTGGTTGTCACAAGTGGGGACTCCTGGCATTTAATGCGTAAAAGCTGGATGCTGCTAAACATCCCATCATGCATAGGACAGCACCCACCACGGAGAATTATCCAGCCTTAATGTAATAGTGCTTGGATGGCTAATGTTATGTGTTGACTTAGGGATGCCCAGATGGCCAGTAAAGCAGGATTTCTGGGTGTGTCCATGAAAATGTCTCTGGAAGAGATTGGCATTGGAGTCTCTAGACAGTAAACAAGTTTGTCCTCACCATTGTGGGCTGGCAGCATCCAGTTTGTTGAGGGCCAAAATAGAACGAAAAGGTGGATGAAGGGCAAATTCTTTCCCTTCTTGAGCTGGGACAGTTGTCTTCCACTCCTGGGCCCTCAATCTCAGAATGAATTTCACCACCTGCCTTCCTAGATCTCCAGCCTGCCGATGGAAGACTGGGACTTCCCAGCCTCCGTAATCGCAGCCAATTCCCACAAGAAGCCTCGTCTTCTATTCCTGTATCCATATCCCATTGTTTCCAGTTTTCTGGATCCCTGACTGATAAAGTGTCATGGTTGGGAAGCCCTGCCCTGGATTTCTTTCTTCGGTCCTCAAAGCCTTGCCACAGTTCCCATAAACCCTCCTCCTGCAAGAAGAAAGGAAACGTGAAAAGAGTCACTCAGGGAATGGATGCCGGTTCCTAGGTAGATTTCTCTATTGACAGATAACTGTTGGTCGGTAGTTGGACACGACTAGTTCTCTTTTTTGAAGATTGAAAATTGTGCTCTCTCTCCTCTATGGATAATTTTTTCCAGTTCTATTGCTTCAAATATCATCTGAACACTTTCGACCCATAACTTTATTTCCTGTCTGGGCCTCTTTTCTGAGCTGTACTGGACATCTCAAATCACATGATATGGGCTGTTTGAAATTTAACTCCAAAACTAAATCCTTGGTGTCCTTCATTTCCCTCCACCCAATACTGGTCCACCCCCAGTCTTCTTCCTCTCAGTCCATGACCGTCACCCCTTGCCCACTGGCTTCATCACTGGGTAGTCACTCCACCCCCTGGACTCCTCCCCTTCCCCAGCACCCTCTTAACGAGCTTGCACACACACATGTATGGGGAATATTACCACGTTCCTTCATCTCAACCCCCTTCCTTCCCCCAGCCCATCCCCTAGAATGAATTCACTCCTGGTTTGCAGGAAAGTACAGAAAGCCGAGGAATGTGGTGGAACTTGGTGATCCAATTTAAATGGTCTAACGCTTTCGCCCTTATCTCTCTCTGATCCATTTTCTACCCCAGAGCCAGAGTGATCTTAAACCATAAGTAAACTAAGGTTACTGCTTTCTAGAAACATTTCAATGCTTTCCACGACAGTCGGGAGGATACCAATTATGTAACATGGCTTGTAAGTCTCCCCTCCCCTACTTTGAATGGTCTTTAGAGGTTGGCCTTCTCTCAGGGCCTGGGAGATGCTGAGCTTGATCTTCAGGGCCTTTGCAGAGGCAGTTCCCTGCTCAGAGCCCTTCCCTCACTCTTCCCCTTACCAAGGATAATCACTTCTTCCGGTCTCAGCTGTTGTGAGACTGCAGGTTGGAGCATTTGGGAATGCATCCCTGAAGGACTGATTTGCCATTCTTCTCCTTTCTTTCTTTTCTCCAGTGGCTCCTGTGGAGGTTTGGAGACTCCTCAGTGTCACTCTGCTTCTCTCTCCGGTTCCAGTCCTAACAATGTGAACCCCAGGTGCCCCACCCCGGCCGGCTCCAGTGCCCCAGGATGAGCAAGGAGAGCTCTTCCCTGCATCTAGCTTGTGACAAACACCTCTGGTGACAGCCCTCTCTGCCTTGTTTCCAGTCCTTTAATGAGCTGCCTGCAGCCAGCCTCACTCTCACTCGGCTCTTCACACCCACTGAGCCCCACGCTTGGAGCCAAGCGCTGGGGGTCTGCCAGAAAGACCAGCTCCTAAGCTCCCTGGAGGCTGTGCCTGCTCAAGTTCTCAATGTTGCTTTCTCAGCCATGCTTGGTGCTATAATACAAGTCTATCCACTCTGGGTTTTTTTCTAGAAATGTGTCCAAATTCCACTCAGAGTGTTGTTTCTCAACTACGATTTTGATGGGTTTGGGGAAGGAAGGTGAGTTCCTGGGTTCTGCTGGTATCTGACCCTGGCAATCTTGCCCATATTGCTAAGTGCCGCACCAGGAAGTGCAGGCTAACTTTGGGGCAGCAGGAGGCTGTGTGCAATGCAGGCATCACCTCATGCAGGGCTGGAGCATATCAGATGACCTACTGGGCTGCAAAGTTGAAATCAGGGCTTCTTAGTAAATGGCGGGATGTATGCAGACTTGCATAAGAAAAATCCAAACTTCCAGGATTGGGGATGAAACAGTCTCTTCAGACTGTGCTATCAGGATTTTCGGAGGGGAGCTATTTCTCAAGATTTTCTTGACCTTTGTCACTCTCAGGAATTAATGTTTAACTGGCACATGAGGCTGGAAATCCAAGAAGAGGGAAACGTGTGGTCAGAGTTTCAAGGAGAGTGACTGCCTCAGCGCCGAGTGCCTCAGTGGCTTCTCCACATCCCCCTGAGTCCCTGAGTCCCTGAAGCTGGAGAATCCCATCAAGGAGAGGAGCCCTATGAGGAATTCACATTCTGGGTGTGTAAGTCTCTGGTTTTATACCTACTCAGATGGTAGTGGGAGGGACAGCAACGCTGTACCTTCACTCTCTTGGCCCCATGTTACTGAACATTTGCTTAAAGGTTAACTCGGTTGACAGACCTTGCGCGGTGCTTTCTCTCCTGCCGCAGGCTGGCAGGGGCTTTTGTTCTGTGAGGACTGTACACTCAGTTGCTCCCCATGCACACAGCCACTGCAGTGTCACATGTCTGATGAGGCACTGGGAATGACTTCATGTCTGTGGCTCAGCAGCAACTGCAGGCCACACGTGGTTCTGCTTTCCACACACACCACCAGGGGTGGTGGTGGGTATTTTATTCCCCCGAGCTTCTGCTTCTTCTGTAAGTGAGGATTTTCATAGTATCTACCTTGTGAGGATTAAATCCCATAATTTTATGGAGGTGATTAATCAACATGAACTCTACTCTCACCTTCCTGACCTCTGAGGCTCCGTGAGTGCTCTCTCCTTATGGTGGATGGTATGGTCTCCTTAGAGGTCAATTTGGTGTCTACCTATGCAGTGAGATTTGAGGAGAATTAGAAGATCTTTCCCACCAACTTGCCATGCTGAGTACAATTCCCATCTGAATGCATCAGTCTTGCAAAGAAATTGTTGCTCTCTATCACGCGTGAGTTAAAACAATCACTTCTGAGTGGTCAGTTTGCGTCGGGCTCTGTCTAGAAGAAGGTTCACGTTCTTCACCTCCAGTCCCATCCCCATTTCACGAGTGAGCAAATAGCCAGAGTTGGGAAGGAAGATGGCACAAGGTCTTGCAGCTGGCGGAGACAAAATGTGAACGAAGCCCGTCTGCACTTGGTGCTGTCCGGCAGCCAAGCAATCCAGTGTGTCATTCCAGGGTGACAAGTGCTGGTCCCATGGCTGCAGTAAGTCCCTCCAGCATTCGGCCTTGCTCTCTGTGCTTCTCTGGATGAGGTGCAGGATAAAGGTGACCCTGGGCTGGGCGCAGTGGCTCACGCCTGTAATCCCTGCACTTTGGGAGGCCGAGGCAGGCAGATCACAAGGTGAGGAGTTAGAGACCAGCCTGGCCAACATAGTGAAACCCCTTCTCTACTAAAAATACAAAAAAATTACCTGGGCCTGGTGGCAGGTGCCTGTAATCCCAGCTACTTGGGAGGCTGAGGCAAGGAGAATCACTCAAACGTGGGAGGCGGAAGTTGTGGTGAGCCTTGAACCAGCCACTGAACTCCAGTCCAGGCAACAGTGTGAGCCTCCATCTCCCCAAAAAAAAAAATGACCCAAAAAGTGGATACGTGACATTTTGAAACGAGGGAAATGCAGGTTAATATTTTCAGACTCTTAAAAATTACTAAATAAGTTTGAAGAGACACAGCCATCTGCCTACAGTGCCACCCCTGAGCTTCATGCCTCCCTGGTCTCTAAGAAAGGGGAGAAGCTCAGCAGAAATGTTGAATGCAGGCACAACCGTGGAAGAAGAGCAGAGTTTTCACATTTTAACAAGGTCAATTGAGTAATCAACTCAATTAATTAATTAATTATATAAAATGAGGGTGGGGTGCTGTGGCTCACATCTATAATCCCAGCATTTTGGAAGGCTAAGGTGGGCGGATCACTTGAGCTCAGGACTTTGAGACCAGCCTGGGCAACACGGTGAGACCTCATCTCTACTAAAAATATAAAAATAAGCCAGGCATGGTGGCGTCCGCCTGTAGTCTCAGCTACTTAGGAGGCTGAAGCAGGAGAATCGCTTGAGCCTGAGAGGGGAGGTTGTGGTAAGTGGAGATAAAGTCACCGCACTTCAGCCTGGGTGACAGAGTGAGACCCTGTCTCGTGAAATAATACTACTACTAATAAAATAAAATTATAAAAGTTTTACTCCACCAAGAATACATTACAGTTCCAAAGATGCATAGAGCCTCAAACATATAAAAAATATCTTGGTTCAACTATGGAGAGAAATCAACAAATCAACCATTTTTACCAATATAATAAACTGGATGATAGATTTAGCAAACAAAACATTTGTAATTCTTCAGAAAATTTCAAAAACAAAAGTAATAATCTTGCTTTATTGGACATATATGGAATCATGTACCTAAAAATAAGAAAATACACTTTTTTCCCAAGTGCACCTGAAATATTTACAAAATTCGAGGCAGTATTGGGGCATAATATAAATTGTCAACATCTATAAGAGAATTGCTCTCACACCAGCGTGTTCTCTGACCAAAATACAATCCAATTAATTAAATTAGAATTTAAAATGAGCAAATAATGCTATGTATGTCTGGACATTTTTTTTTTTTTGAGACAGTCTCTCTCTGCTGTCCAGGCTGGAGTGCGTAGTGCAATCTTGGCTCATTGCAACCTCTGCCTCTTGAGTTCAAGTGATTCTCCTCCCTCACCCTTCGAGTAGCTGAGATTACAAGCACCTGCCACTATGCCCGACTGATTTTTGTATTTTTAATAAAGGTGGGGTTTTGCCATGTTGGCCAGGGTGGTCTCGAACTCCTGACCTCAGGTGACGTGCCTGTCTCAGCCTCCCAAAGTGCTGGGATTACAGGTGTGAGCCACCATGCCAGGCAATCTGGACATTTTTGGAATAGCTACTGAATAACTCATGTATCAAAAAAAAAATAAAATAGAAATTAAATACTACTTATGCACACATGATAATAAAATACCAGCCCCTCCTCGTACCTGTGTCCCCCTGGTGTGTAGCCCAAGCCATGCGCAGGGTGAAGGGCACCCACCCAGGGAGCAGTGCAGCTCCAGCCTCACCCTGTGGGAGCCCTGTGCTCAGTCACCCACTGCAGCCCCCAAGCTCCTGGTCAGTCCTCCCTGAACAGGGTCTTCCTCATGGGTGCATGGCCACGGGTGAGAAAGAGAGGTCTGTGTTCCTCGGGACAGAGAAATTTCAGCTCAAGAAGTGTCTGGCTGTCCAGCTTGACACTGCGCCCCTCCACAGAGCTCGAATGCTCGTAGCTGGGACCTGCCTCCCCCCTGTAGTCATGGCTGAACTTACAGTGTTTGGGAGGATGAGCCACACTGCTGCTGGCTTCTGGCTCTCCCTGGATGGTGATGACTGGGCAGCTCCCGTCTTGCCCTCTGCGTAAATGGGCCTAATCTCCTTACTGCTTCCACTATGCACGTAGCTGCTGCCTACGGGTTCCTGCATGGCTGCTGGAGGGAGCTGCTTATTCACAGGCTGAGACCAGGGTCCCCTCACTTGTTCCACCTGCGGGCTCCCCACCCTGCTGCCCCTGTACCCATGGCATGTCCTGCTACCTTGAAGGCTGCTGCCTCTGCCCCACCTGCAAGGGGTCTCTGCTCTACAGGGGTAACTGCTTCTTTGAAAAGATGCTGCTTAAAGTGAGAGGATGGATGGCTCTCTTTGGGGAATTTCTAGCTCTGGATTGTGCCACAGCCCTGGATGTGGTCTGTGTTTGTGCATGCATGCATGCACTTAGGTGTGTGTGTGTGCATGTGTGCAAGAATGTGTGTGTGGTATGCATGCATGTACGATGTGCGATTGTGCATGTGTGTAGTGTGAGTAAACATGCACACGTGTTCTTGTGTTTGTGTGTGCATGTGCATGCACATGTGTGTAGGCACGAGTGTGTATGGCATGTGTACATGTGTGTGTGGTCGGGGCAGAGGCACCTGCAGGCTGCTTGTTGTGAGTGGACCCTGTTCCCCACCCTTTCTCCTCTGCAAAGGCCAGGCCCTTTTCCTAGCTTCACATGACTCCACATGCACCTTCAGGAGATAAGGAGTTCTGCTCCTTTTAGTGCACCCATCAACCAGAGGTGGGAGTGAGGGTGGGGAAGACGCTCCTCCCTGTTGCTGCCTTATGCTGGGAAGAGAGACAGAGCTCCAACCATGTATTAGATGCTGATAGGCTTAAGGGGAAAAGCACAGGACTTTGAATGAGATGCAGGTGGCTCAACACCTAATCTGCATCTCGCTTCACTTTCTCATCTAGGGAAGTGGGCTTGGCACCCTGAGCCTCCCAGGTATCGCAGGGTCCTAATAGTCCCTCACAGAAGGAGCAGGCCCAGCGTGAGCGTCCCATAAATGCCATGCTACCCTCTTCACCCCTGGAGTGGAGCCTGGGGGTTCTCAGAGTTGCTGGGAGAGTCCCAGGAGCACTGCTCCCAAGTCTGCATCCAACACAGTGCCTGGGAACACAGGGCCCATTTTTCCCTGGGCTCTCCCCAGGCCCTGCAGGCCCTGCTCCTCCTCTCCATCCTGCTAGGATGGCTCTCTCCCCCGGGGGCAGAGTCGGGGCAGGAGGTGGTGGGAGGGTGGAGAGATGCTGCTCAGTAAATAATGCAGAGCCGGCAGCTCTGATTGGCTTCAGGGAGGCGGACACTGTGTCTACATAAATGGCAATCTCATCCTCTGTGCCTCTGAACTGTCACTGTGGAGAGGAGAGAGAGAGGACAGAGAGCAAGCCACTCCCGGCTGCCTGTGAGTACCGCTATTTGTACTCATGGCTTGGGGTCCAGACTCATGCGTCCAGCTCCCCAGATGGCCGTGACCCTGGGGTTTGGGGTGGGAGGTTTGCTGGTTGATTCTAGCTGTGTTGAGTTCTCCTCCAGCTGGGGGAAGGAGGCTCTGCTGACAGGGACAGCTGAGCATCCAGTATGTGCAGATGGCACAGGGTTTACAGAAACTTTTCAAGAAAATAGGCACCAACCTAGGTTGGCCGCTTTTTTGTGCCAAATGTGAGCAACAGGTCAGGCAAAGAATCCCAATCTTTGGGTTGCTGTTTAGGCTGTATTCCTTGAGCCACAACAGCAACATAACCAAGTGAGTGGAAATTATTTTCCAGACTGGCTCGTGAGCATGGAGAGCCTACAGAGGCCACGCGGTGGGTGGGAAAGGAGGTGGTGCAGCCTCACAGACCCAGGTTTGCATTCGGGCGCCCACCTCCCCAGCTGCCTTTCCTCCTTCAGAGGGGAGGGAGAAGAGCTAATTAACAGCATCCTCCCAGCAGA